GCTGAACTTCCTGTCCGCCATTTTGATTTATGTTGAAATCCTACTTTTTTTAACTCCTCGCCACTCGTTGGTCCGATTTTCACCAAAATCGAGTCAGATGATCTTCAGACTGTGCTGACAGGAAGTTATGGATTTTGTGTTGATAGACAAAACCGTTTTGGTACAGCGCTGCTACAAATGTTAGGTATGGTGCCAAAATGACTCTGAGGCTATATCTCTTCAAAGCTTTGACATAATGACAACAAACCTTGTATGTGCCATTGTCACCTCACACAGAACACACCAAAACGATTTGATTGCAGCGCCACCTGTTGGTCAAAACTGATAAGCCATTTAATCATATTACTAGTGGTTGTATTTATGATTTTTCAGCCATTTCAATTACAATTATCCTAAAATTGCTTTTATTACTCGTTGCATTTGGTCTGATGCTCCATGCCATGCTTAGCTCCTCAATTTGCCTCTGGAGTGCTTGGCCCCGTGATTGCTGCTTGCAGCTATATTTCAAAATTAAACTTGGAAGATATGTTTTCAAACATGTTTATGATTGCTAATTATGTATTCGTTTGTCTTGGTAGTTTCCAAATTTGGTGGTACAGAAATGAAGAACTTGTGGACACATTAATAAGAGGACTCATTATGCATGAATGTATTTGTGTGTGTGTGTGTGTGCTTGAGAGGTTAGACATTGCTTAAGTAAACAATTTACAAGATAAAATGTCCTTGAATGGAAAGCATTGTGCTTTCTTAGAGACAAATCATACAAAACATCACCAAAGAAATTTCCAAGCCCCTGGAAATCAAGGCTGGATTAAATTACTTTTGTGGAAGCAAGAAAAACAGAGAAGAGTTTGTTCAGCCTGACAATGACAAACTGATACACCACACCACCACCTAATGCAATATATAAAAATAACCTTATGGTGACTTTAATCTACAATCCCATGTTATTCATCTGCTTTTGAATGTAATAAAAAATTCTGCTTTCTAAAAGAAAAAACACTGGCTCTGTACATATTTACAATAATTTTATTCATTTAAACCCACAGTTGGATGAAGTTCAGCTACTTTTTGTCAGAAAGAGAGACGTGGATTACATTAAAATGTAACATTCTTTTAGCATGTAGAAATCACAGAATCTCTAATTTGTTAGTTGACAGACGAGTCGAATTCTCTGACTCGCATCTCATCTTATTCTCCCATAACCACTGAAATAATAAGAAATTGTGCTTTTTAAAAACATTAACATTTTTTTATACAACTCCCACATGCCCAAACATACACAGAGAGTGAACTTAAAGCTCCAAAAGCTACAAAATATATACAGTTGTTCTCAAAATTATTCACACCCTTAGTAAATATGATCAAAGAAGGCTGTGAAAATAAATCTGCATTGTTTATCCACTTGATCTTTCATTCAAAAAAAATAATTGTTTAAGTGAAAGTGGGGGAAAATCACATAATGAAATAAATATTTTGCTCTAATACAGTAACAGGACGTGTGTCTATATGGTCCTAATGCACGGTGAGGAGGAGAGTTTGAGTGGCCAAAAAGACTCCAAGGATCACAGCTGGAGAACTGCAGAAAATAGTTGAGTCTCGGGGTCAGAAAACCTTAAAAAAAAAAAAAAACAATGTTGTTTGGGAGGGTTTCAAGAAAAAACTAGAAAAGAAAACGCTCTCATCCAAAAACAAACTCCAGCATATTTATTTACTAGACACGACTGGAACTGTAAACGGGACTGGGTTCAATGGTCAGATGAAACTAGAGAGATGGCATAATGGATTCTATAAAATACCAATGGATAAAAAATTAAAAACTGACTGTCCATGCTAGAAATCTTATAATGGGCCATGGTTGGATCCACAAACAAACATCAAAATCAAAACAAAAATGGGTCACTGAGCACAAAACCAAGCTTCTGCTATGGCCAACCCAGTTCCCTGACCTGAACCCTATAGAAAATGAGTGTGGTGAACTGAAGAGGAGAAGCACTATCATTTCAGGCATTATAGGTGAAGACTCAGAGCTGTTCTCTTGGCAAAAGGAGGTTGCAAAAAGTATTGGATAAAAGGGTATGATTAATTGTGACCAATGTGTATTAGAGAAAAACATTTATTTCATAATGAGATTTCTCTCCCATTTTAAATTCTTATTTTCCAATGAAAGGTTAGATTTTAGTCAATTTTTAAAATCAAGGATTGAAGATACAGATTAATTGTCACAGCCTTCTTTGATCATATTTACCAAGGGTATGAATAATTTTGAGCACAACTGTATCCAGGCTTCCCACAGTCAAGAAAAACTCAGAGAAATAGGCTGTTTGGTTTTACTAGTTGCACAGAAATTAAAAATATTGACAGTGAATATACATGTTTCTAGTTATGCTCAGCTATAAGAAACTGCTTGTGCTCAGTGCAATCTGTTTAATATTTTCAAATTAAACAACTGAATGACTGGAAAAAAGCGTGGGAACCCATATAACGCAATATCAATTTTTCAAAAGTAAGATGTAAAATAAAGCGCTCGTAGTGATATCAGCTGACTGAAGGTTGAGCCGCAAATATGAAAGGAGTATGTTCTCAAATCTGCACATTGCACAATTTCAAAAGATTTTTCCCCTGTGTGGCCACACAGGAAACGAGACAAAGGAAGGAGGAACATATTTAAGAACGGGAGTCAGCTGAGGAGTTGAAAAGGGGAGAGAAAGAAATAGAGAGTGCAAATAAGCAGCAATAAGTACAGAGGAATTGTGTGTTGATGGACTGTGGGATTTGTTTGAAGGAAAGGGATCTTTACTGCCAGAGGTCCTCAGTTCGGCCAAACTTGAACACCAGACCACTGCAAGAGAGAAGGAGAATCAAAATTAGAACTTAATCAAATTATCATAGTTTCACTTGAAAAAAAAAAAGTTATTTATTATAAATTACATGAATACTCAAAATCTCAGACCACTAATGCAGTTAATTAGAGACTGGGCAATAGTTGTATATCCATGACTCATTCAAAATGAATTTTATTAAGCTTTCTGGAAAGTATTTTGATGATTATTCAATGTCTCGTCAGTGGAAGTGTTTTGATAGCATCAGTAGCAAAAATAAAGCAAATAATTGAAGCAAAACGTCAGCAAACATACACAGAGAATGAACTTAAAGCTCCAAAAGCTACAAAATATATGTCCAGGCTTCCCACAGTCAAGAAAAACTCGCTGTTTGGTTTTACTAGTTGCACAGAAATGAAAAATATTGACAGTGAATATACATGTTTCTAGTTATGCTCAGCTAAGAAACTGCTTGTGCTCAGTGCAATCTGTGTAAAATAATTTTACACGGACAATAATAGTCTCTTTTTCATTTGTGCATTCATTTCAATTTGAATTACTTCTTTTTGAACAAATTGTTCATTTCGGATTTTTAAAGAAACAAGAATTTTGTCTAGCAAGGGCACATTAAATCGATTAAAGGTGACAGCAAAGACATTTATAATGTTACAAATAAATATTTCAAATAAAGTGTTCTTTTGAACTTTAGGCAAAGAAAAAAAGTATTACAGTTTAACAAAACTATGAAGCAGCTCAACTGTTTTCAACATTGATAATAATCATAAATGTTTCTTGAGCAGCAAATAAGAATGATTTCTAAAGGATCATGTGACACTGAAGACAGGAGTAATGATGCTGAAAATTCAGCTTTGATCACAGCAATAAATTACATTTTAGAATAAGTAGAAAACACTTTTTATTTATAATAATAATTCACAATATTACTGTATTTACAAACTTACCCAAAGAAGATGAAAGCATTTTGGAAGAAAACCGCAATACCAGGATACACTGACAACTCCTTATGATCTGTTCAATCATAAAGAAAAAAAATGGAAAAACAATCAGCAACTGTAAACAAACAGAAACCTGAATCATCTTATTCTATAAGGGCAAAATCAGTCTTATTCTCTCACCAGTCACAACAAAACCACCAAACAGAATCCACATAGAGGCGATGAGAGACCCGAACGCCAACATGAACCCGATGAAGAGCCAAACCCTGGCACCTACACACATTCAAAGCACATTTCGGTCATGTAGTATTTCAATATCTACAAGAAATGCATCAAGTTAATGCTGTCTCGTTGCGTATGCAGGACGTACCTGTCTGTCCCAAGCAGCCCTCGCTGTAGCTGTCGCCCCTCACCTGGCCATTTGACACCGCATTGATCCTGCATTCAAATCAGTCTTATTTTAGTCATTAACTTAAGCAAAAACAAACTATTTCAATCCAAGTAACTTTTATGAGTACATGAGTTTATGACTTTTTCTTTTGAGTTCATGAAACTGAGTCATTCTACGTCATCTGAATAGTTTCATTGTTTTGAGCTTAATGAACTTGTTTCTTTTAAATCAGATGTACTTCGATTTAACTGAACCTGGCTGCAATTTCTATTTCCCAGCATGCTTTGCCATGGCACTCGAAAGGTAGAGGAAATACTAAAGTGTTACATACTGTTTTTTGCTAGATTAATGTAAAATAATTGGGAGGATTAGTATTGTTTTGCTATGCTAATTTAGAAGAGTTTCTGTTTTGTTGGGTTTCTCATTGTGACGAGTGGAGCATGGTTTCAGAACAGAAATATGTGAAATGTTTCATACCGCCTTACTCATTCAGCAGTTACTATGCTTATCAAAGCATTGTGTTGTCAATTAGCAAGTTAGCACTGACTGAATTAGCTAGTTACAGCTAGTTAAGTTTCCAATACTGAAAAAATAAATTTTAAATTGAGATTACATGATAATTTTAAGTTAGCTTACTCAAATATTTCAAATTAGGAGCAATTCATATAAAATAAAATTGGCCTGTTCTGCTTGCTTAAACTTTGAATTTCCTAACTTAAACATTTTGATGTAAATTAAGTAAAGAAATTCGAAACTTAGTTAAGAAATTAAGACATTTTTAAACTTAGTTTTTTTCTTTAGTTTTGCAAACTTATTCAGTTCTACAGTGTAGCTTTTATTGATAGTTTGAAGTTGTTTTAGATTCTGTTTTCATTTTTGAGTTAAAACTTTTGCAATTTTTTGTTGTGTTTTTGTAACTTTTATTATTTCTTTTAAAGGGGTCATATGATGTTGCTAAAAAGAACACCATTTTGTGTATTTGGTGTAATGAAATGTGTTTATGCGGTTTAAAAAACACATTATTTTCCACATACTGTACATTATTGTTTCTCCTCTATGCCCCGCCTTTCTGAAACGCGTCGATTTTTACAACCTTCACGACATGGCGGCGGCGGCGGTGTTAGAACGAGCCGTTTTAGGTAGGCGTGGTTGACTCTTAACTTTGAGACTTTAGTCTTTGCAACTTTACAGATCTTCTTTATGCACCAAGAGCTTGTAACACTCCAAAGAGAAAGGAAAAATTGAAATCGCATCATATGTCCCCTTTAAATGTCTATAGTTTTTATTCATTTTTATTTAGTACATCAAATTAAACTAAATGATAAATGTAGCTGAAATAATAAAAAAAAAAGTTTTGTAATAAGTTGTAAGTTACAGTTAAATATAAGTTATGGTTTAGTTTTACTTAACTATAATAACCCTGATTCAAATCCATAGATAGTGAAACTCCACAGGCAGTTTATCAATGCAGTCATTGTACAGTAGTCACGGCGCAACCCTGTAGTTAAATCAGTGCTTAACAACAGGAAGTAAGATCTGGGACAGATCAAATTATGTCACAGCGTTGGTCTGGCCGGACACAATGAGAACAAAGACTTAGTTCTCTTCATTAAAGGGAGTGCCAGCGAGAATCTGTACAGGTGTAACTCACATGAGGAAGGCTATAGTCGCTATAACCCCACAGGTATGATATGCATGGTGGAACTGTTCCTCTTTAGGGTACATTATCGCAGCATCGATAATGATCCACCAGCCTGTGAAAAACTGCACGTGTGTACAGTGCGAGAAGAAAGACTGTTAGTTTGGGGATCGCTGGATATTTTAGAGAACACAAGATTTATTGACTTACCAGAACTCCGGCTGCGATGGAGGCGATGGTGTTTCTCTTCTCACCCCAGTCCACATTACACTCGCAATCACCACATCTGATCCCGTCCAGAAACCCTGACATGCTTCTGATCTGACCTGACCCTTCAGATAAATATGTTACTTTTGAGATGTTCTGCTGGTTTTCATAATAAAAAGACTTATTCACATTGCGTGAAGAAGTGAATGATCATATAGTGAATCATACAATGACAAATTTGGGCAGAGAAATGGATATTTTATTTCAAATATTTAATTTAAAAACACCTTCCCCATCTATCTATCTATCTATCTATCTATCTATCTATCTATCTATCTGTCTATCTATATCTATCTATCTCTATCTGTCTATCTATCTATCTCTATCTGTCTATCTGTCTGTCTGTATGTCTGTCTGTCTGTCTGTCTATCTATCTA